ACACACACACACACACACACAGGGACTGATGGTGATTGGACAGCATCTGTAGTTAGCCTCCAGCCTTTAGTTTGTCTCTCAGATCCTGTTGTATCAGCTGCTTGATCTAAAGGGGTTTGTAAAACAGGACCTTTGTCCATGTGAGTTTTTAACTTAAGGAAACTAGCAACCGTTTGTCAGAAACTCCTTGGAGCCTCTCCGGGTTGATCAGGTCCTCTCCTCACTAAGTTGTAACATGGCTGCTAATTCAGCTGCTTTTGACTCATCGTACATGGACAAAAACCAGCATGCATCAGAGACCTCCTGCTCACGTGGACTCTGGCCGGTCCCTGAGGTCATGTGACCTGCTGACTGGGCATCACACATTTCTGAGGACTAAAGGAGGCACAGCTTTAGAGACTGGCCTCCAGACTCTGGAACTCTCTCCAGCTGAGCCTCAGATTAGTCATTTCTTCTAATAAAAAAAAAGCTAAAAACTACCTTAAACCTTACTTTAAAACTTTTTTTAAAAGGACCTTTGGTTAACATATTTATGTTTTAACATTATGTTAGCAAGCGCTTTTTGGTTTTCACACTTTACTTCCTTAATTCAGCTAAATCCAAAATAAATAAATACATTTAAATAGTTTGAGGATTGCAGCAGCTCTGATTAAGTCAAACAAAGTCAAGCACACATTAAAAATGCCGTCCAATATGTCAAACAGGACATTTCTGACCTGAGTCCCTACATGATGTAAACACACCGTTGCTATGGAGACCTAAACTTAGTACTGACTGAGTTAAACTTGTGTAAATAAACAGGACGTTAGGAAGGTTGCTGAGCCCATGTAGGCGGCTAAAGGCTTAAACTAGCAGAGAATTAGCCACAAGGGGCCATGTTGCTTTCTCTCTGTACATTTTTACTTATTTATTTATTTTCTGTGACACTAAAATACCGAGAAAAACGCCGGTCACGGTGCTGCGTTTAAATGCATTCTGTAGCAGAGGAAATGAGAACTATCACCATTATCCAGTATTTAGCGAAACGTTACATGACAGAGATTATTAC